TCAAATTCTAATCAACCATGGTGTCTTTGAACTCATATAACCATCGACTTCACGCCATTAAAAACAAGGAAATTAAGGTCCATAATTGCGTCTTCGAGCTCCAATTAGTGACGATTATGTTCGCCATCAACAACATCGCCATTAACATCATCGTTATCAACTTTGCAACATCAGTAACAAAGAAATTAAGCTCAAAATTTAAGACCAATTATGGCGTTTTCAAGCTCCAATCAACGACGAATTATGGCCGTTCCAGTAAAATTGAAATATTTCAACGATCGAAAATGAGTTTAATGAGTGTATTTTTTTTAGAATTTTTGACGGATTTATGATGATTTTGTTTGGTTTGATTATGTATTTTATCATTTGTATGATATTGTGTGAATTTGCAACCATTCAATTTTTGCCATTAGTATGTGAACAATTCATGTGTTATGCTCATTTATGCATTTTTACTATATGTGTTTTTGCTCATTTTATTTTAATTTGCTCATTTTATTTCAGTTTGCTCATTTGAGTTCAGTTTGCTCATTTTAATTTAGTTTGTTCATTTTAATTTCAGTTTAGTTTGCTCATTTGTGAAGGATATGAGCAGAACAACATGTATTAAATTAACCTTGTGAACTTTCTACTTCAAAATTAGGCAGAAAATGCAGTGTACAATATAAACTAACATGGTTAGTCTCTTATGGTCCAACAATTGTTTGTATTTTCTGATATAGTAAGTTCAAGGTTTTATATTAGTTTGAATGTTTTAGAATTGTTGCTCATTTGATAATTGAACAAGGAATTGTTGCTCATTTGATAAAAGTGCAAAAAAAAAAAAAAAAAAAAAAAAACGTAAAAAAAAAAAATTAATTTTTTTTTTGCTTATTTGATAAATGAGCAAAACAAAGAATGGTTGCTCATTTGATAAATGAGCAAATAATTGTTTGCTCATTTGATAAATGAACAAAGAATTGTTACTCATTTGATAAATGAGCAAAAAAAAAAAAAAAAAAAAAAAAAAAAACATGAAAAAAAAAATTAAAAATTTTATTTTTTTTGACAAATGAACAAAAAATTGTTGCTCGAAATGAGAAAAAAAAAACAAAAAGGTAAATTAGGGGGTATGTTTGATCGTAAAATTACATTTTTGCCATTACTATGTGAACAATGTCAACAGTTGGATCATGTGTTATCCAATGGTTGTGATTTGTTTTCATATATAATAGGGTTCTCATATAGAGACCTATTCTCACTATATATATATATATATATATATATATATATATATATATATATATATATATATATATATATATATATATATATATATATATATATATATATATATATATATACACACACACACACACACACACATATATATATATATATACATATATATATATATATATGGGATCATATGAGACCACATCCCTTATGTGAGAACCCTTTTATATGTGAGGACTCATTATAACCGTTGGATCAATTACATCCAACGACCACAATTAATCCCGGTCAAATACGTTTTTTTCTCCCTCCTCCTTCCTCTTTCACGCACAATTTTCTCTCTCCTCGAAAATCCCAACAAATTTGAAAGATTTAAGAGAGAGAAGCAATACTATGGCAGTAGAAGAGCTTGAGAAATCAATGGCGGTAACTGAGATTGAAGACCAGAGAAAAGACGATGATGATTTGGAGGAAGACGAGATTATCGACGACAACTCAAACGCCGAAAAACCCAGCAAATCAATCGCAACAACTCATCCTTTTGAGAATGCTTGGACTTTTTGGTTCGATAATCTTACTGCTAAATCGAAACAAGCTGCTTGGGGTAGCTCTATTCGACCCATTTATACTTTCTCTACTGTTGAAGAATTCCGGAGGTTTCTCTTTTTATCTTTGTTTTTCAGTTTTATTAATTTGATTGTGAATTTATTGAATTTGGTTGTTTGAATCTTTTTGTGTTGTGGGTGATTGATTGATTATATTCTTGATGTTGTACGCAAAGAAGTTGTGAATTGTGACTGCTTACAAGGTATTCGACGAAATGCCTCACTGATTTTTTTTTTTCAGTTTTCTTTCATTTTTGTTTTTTGTGTTTTTGTTTTCTGGTGTTGGATCCGAATGTGAATATTTCAGAGCTCTAAATCTGAGTATAATTGCAAGAAATTGATTGAGGCTATAATTTTGTTGCTTAAGCTTGCTGTGTAGATGATCTGAACTTCTGAAGTGTGTATATAGTTCAAATTGGGGGTTGTTGAGGATAGTTGTATTCTTTTGTGATTTGAAAACAACTAAGATCTTGGATTTTGTTTAATTGCAAGATAGTTTATCAATTTTTCTGGCAGTTATAATTTGAGTAAAGAAAATAATTGATCTGGGATTTGAAAATAATTGATTAGAATCATTAGCAAATCATTATTGTTAAACAGCCGTATAGGATATATCTTTGGCTGACTATTGCAATTTACTTATCGATTACTCCCAATGAAATTCAGGTTCTGGCCCCGCATCCTCATTGATGTAAGTCATATAGACATTACGACAACTGTCTTGGGTTTCAAGATTCCCATGCCAATCATGATTGCTCCTTCAGCTACGCAAAAAAATGGCTCACCCCGAAGGTAAAAAATTCAAGTCCTTGATGTTCATCTGAACGCTCAAGTGTTCTACTTTGATATGTCATATGTCAATTTGTGTTTTGGTTTATTGATGCTCATATGCAAAAAACTAATGCAAGTCATTCTAAAAGTATCCTCAATATGCAATTTGGTATTGTAACTGCTACTCTTGTTTTCAGGATAGCTGGTCAAAATTAACACAAGGCCAGCAGACACCTGCTATCCTGTAGCCTGTAGGCTTTAGTAATACATTCATTTATGATCTGAATATTAAAAAGCTCAATCAACTTGATATTTTATTTTAATTTAAAAGCAGTATTGGATCAGTGCTTTGAATCAAATTATCTAAACTAGATGCTCTATTATATATGAATATGATTTTGAAGATGATACTTTAATTAATAGTATTCACAGTCTGACACTCTTCAATACTCTAGTCTCACGGTCTCATGAGCCACATTTTATATATTCCTGCTTTTAAAGTATATAATGTGGCATGTACCTGCATAAGGTGCATATATCTGACACTCCCCAGGGCATCCTCACCATGCTATTATTGTTTCTACTATGACATTCATTTTTCTCAGTTTCCTCCTGAATAGAGGAGTGTTTAATTTATTTGTCTAAGCTTGCTATATAGATACTCTATGCTGAATTGAGAAACTGGAAAACCTCCTTTTTTGAAGTGATCATTTTCTTGCAGGAGAATTTGCAACAGTGAGGGCAGCATCTGCTGGCACAATTATGGTTTTGACTCACATTTCTTTCCCTTCCTATTTTTCCTCTCTTTCTGACCTTAAGTATCAAATTCATTCTTTGATTTGCATGTGTGATTATTTGATCTAGGCATTGTCTATAATGGCCACATCTAGCATTGAAGAAGTTGCCTCAACTGGACCTGGAATTCGATTTTTCCAGCTTTATGTGAGTATTAAGTACAAAAGAAATTGTAATGTAGTAACTCCAGCATTTTTCCAGCTTGCTGATTTAATGAATAATTAAACAAATGTTTCCTCATTTGCTGATTTATTCTTTACTAATTTGTCAAAAATGAGCAAATAATTTGTCAAAATGAGTAATTAATTTTTTGCTCATTTGTCAAATGAGCAATTATTTTTTGTTCATTTGTCAAATGAGTAAACTATTTAATGCTCATTTGTCAAATGAGCAAATGATTCTTGCTTATTTTGTCAAATTAATGCTCACTTTTGAGTGTGTTTAAATGTTTCAAATACGTTAGCCTACTAGCTCAAGGGTAGAGCATTGTACAAATGTACAAAAGATGTGGGTTCGAATCCCACGTAGGTTCATTTATGTAAAGTGGAGACACAAGTTTGTTTGAGAGTTTAATTGTAACAAAGTTTATATAGTTATAAATCATTTCAAACCAGTTTTTTGCTCATATAATTTAGTACGAATTTGATTTTTTTTCTTTTTTTTAATTAATTTTGTTTATAGAGATAACCTATGTAGGAATTGAACCTACATCCCCTATGCATTTGCATAGTGCTCTACCAATTGAGCTAATAGGTTTTATCATATGTTTTAAATCATTTTCTATGTTATAAATTTTTAATCAGTTCATTTGATAAATCGACAAAGAATTGTTTGCTCATTTGATAAAATGAACAAAGAATTGTTGCTCATTTGATGAATGAGAAAAGATTTGTATGCTCATCTGATAAATGAGCAAAGAATTATGTGCTCATTTGACAAATGAGCAAGATTTATTTGCTCATTTGACAAATGAGCAAGAATTATTTGCTCATTTGACAGAATGAGCAAAGAATAATTTGCTCATTTGACAGAATGAGCAAAGAATAATTTGCTCATTGGAAAAATGAGCAAATAATTGCTTGCTCATTTGACATCATACACAAGCCAAATAAGACAAATATTATCCATCATTTCTTATAAGAAAATCTTGTAATACTTGAGGGCTTAATAATAAGACAAATATTATGCACCAATTTATTCCTTACTTTTTCTTATTTGTACGACAACCAAGAATTAGTTTGATCATTTGACCAAAGCTCTTATCTTACACCACAACTCCACCCTCACCTTACCCAATCATGCACAACTCCACCAAAGCTCTTATCTTACACCACAACTCCATCCTCACCTTACCCAATCACATGCACAACAACAACATTAACACCACAGCAGACCACACATCCTAATATCTGCACCACCAACCATGCCCTGCTATCAGCAAATTTGCAGCCATTGTTCCTAGCTAACACTAAGCTGCTGCTACAGTCCTCACAACCACGCCACACATTGCAGCACACCAACAACACCCTGTAACAAATTACCACCAATAACGATCCCATAATAGCAACCCAAACCACCCAATTTCCTCCATTCAACCCTTAAAACAAAAGTGACATGCTATCAGGTGAGAGGTAAAATAAAACTAATTACAAATGAGTAACTAATTATTTTGGCATATTTGCAAGAGGGAGAATTTGCTATGGCAAAGTTATCTGTTATTTTCTGTCACATGGCATATATGATCTGTTTATGGTTAATAAACACATGCATATTTTTCAGGCTGCTTGTTTGAGAAAACAGGGACTGCTATCATGTCCTAGAATCTTGTGATATACAGAGCATGCTGAGGGATTGCAGATTCTTCACTATGAAGAAGGTCAGAAGTACGAACCGAACCATGATTACTTCCTTGATGAATTCAACAAGAAAAATGGTGGCCAAAGGATTATTGCTACTGTTCTAATGTACTTGTAAGATCTCTAAACCAACACATTGGGACCATAGCTCACTAAAATTGAACTCATGCTTCACCCATTGAGTGTGTTCTCTTTTCCACTTCTAACTTTTGCTGGTATTCTCAATGCAGATCAGATGTTGAAGAGGGTGGTGAGACTGTTTTTCCAGCTTCTCATGGGAATTTTAGTTCCCTGCCTGGGTGGAATGAGCGGTCTGAATGTGCTAAAAGGGGCTTATCTGTAAAACCAAAGATGGGTGATGCCTTACTTTTTTGGAGCATGAGGCCTAACGCGACATTAAATGTATGTTTAGTTTGGAGTTGCAGTCATTTGTTAAATTAGCACTAAGTATTTGCTCATTTGACAAATGAGCAACTAAAAGTGATTGCTCATTTCCCAAATGATCAAAGAAATGTTTGCTTATTTTCCAAATGAGTAACAAATTATTTGCTCATTTGACAAATGAGCAAAGAATCGTTTGCTTGTTTGATAAATGAACAAAGAATTTTTTGCTCATTTTAACAAAATGAACAAAGAATTGTTTCTCATTTGATAAATGAACAAAGAATTGTTTGCTCATTTGATAAATGAGAAAAAAATTATTTGCTTATTTGATAGATGAGCAAAGAATTGTTTGCTCATATGATAAATACCAAGATCGTCATCTGTTCGAATACCACCAACTAAGACATTAACCTAACTACCCCCGTCTGCCACACCAATCTGACTACCCCTAATTACAAAGGGCAGTTCATTTTCCCCATCAAAAGTATCTGAAGTATTACCTACGAACTCATTCAAAACAAACTCAGCTCATTGATAATAGAGTACCAAGTCACAAGATTTCTAACAAGCATTTTATCAAACACCTTGTATGCACTATCAGGATATTCATAAGTATCATAAAAATGCACCAATGACCCATTTTAAACCAAGTTTTAATTGCAACACAATTACAGAATTCATAACCAAAAGTAATCAACTAAGTAAAAGGATTCTGTCAACACAAACAAGATAACGATAAACAACAACACAACGTAAATTCGAAAATACTGACAAAAATTAAGAAAATTATATTCGAAAAAAACTAACATAACTTTTGTTGATTATTTACCTGTATAATATATGAAGCTTGTTGATTCTTGTTGCTGCTGAAATCTGACAAAAATCATACAGAATTGTGTTCGAAATCCTTGAATCTCATTGAAATTGAAGTTCGTAGTTTCTTCACTTTATTTTTCTGAGTAGCAGCAAGTGTATGGATGAAAAGTTTGGATTTATTAGAGCCGCTGATATCGTTTGATCCTAAGGCTTAGATTTGTTCTCATATATTAGGAGTGTTCTCACATAAAGATATATAAAAAGTGCATATGATATCCTAGATTTCTTGTAGCCTACTAGCCTAGTGGTTAGAATATTAATTTTTCCATTAAGGGTCACGAATTTAATTCTCTTGCCCAACATTCAATTTTCATCTTTCTAGTTTGATTTGTAATATTTTTTTTTTAATATTTCTTTAGCATTTTATTTCTTGCTAAAACCTTGCTCTCTTCACCTTAATATAATACAGAGTAATGTTTGGTAAATAAAATTTCAGTTTATTATAAATAATTTAATTTCAATAAAAATAAGTTCAATCTATTAAAAAATAATTCCGTTGCAGTAAAAATAATTTGTAATCAGTAAAAATTAGTAAACTTAAGGAAAAAAAAAAATAGAGATTCAGTAAAAAATAATAGTTTCAATGAGTAAAATAATTTCAGTTCAATAAACTTAATTTAATTTCATCAAAAATTATTTCAGATCAGTAAAAATAATTTCATTTCAACAAAAATAATGTGAAGAATAGAGCCTAAAGGGCTTGTTTAGTTCACCTTATTTTCCTTTATTTCAGGTCTAATAAGTTCAATTAAGTTCAGATAAGTTTAATTTAGGAAAAATAAGTATTTATGAGGGTTACCCAAGTTCAAATTAAACCTAAATTAAGTTTTAATAAGTTCTGATAAGCTCAAATAAGTTTAGGTAAATTTAGATAAGTGAAAATCAAGCGAATAAAACACACCAAAAGATTAGAGTTAAAGTTAATTTGTTTACTTCTTGTTGTCACAAATCTTCCAATATGCATTAAGCACCCATAATGGGTGAATGAGTGACTCAAAACCCTCCCCACAACACTCTCTCTCCTGTTATGAGGCTGCTCACCATTGTGAATGGTGACTTGTGACGTGATGCTGCTCCCTCTTTCAAGTCATTGACCGCCTTGGCACACGAGCCTAGTGACAAAGAAGAAGATGACAAGTGGCAAAAAGTTTGCCATTTTTAATTAATTTTCTACCCTTAGCATAAAATATTTTTTTAATTGTAATGAGCTAGCTCACCATTGTGAAAAAAATAATAGGGTGACCCATAATAGTGACTCAAATTAGTAGAATATGATGTGAAAGAATTAAAAGTGGAGAGAGAAATTATGAGCTACTCCACCAATGTGGATGCTCAACCCTAACTCTTACTTTTATCTTACTTATCTTGCATTAGCTTTGGGTAAAGTAACATTCTTGGCTTTACTTGTGTAATTACAGAATCATAGTACTCCCTATTTATGAATACATATAGGTGTCGTTTGGTTCGCATGAGAATTAGAACTTCCTATGAGTTGCAAATTTATGGGAATTAAATTCCTATAATTAAATTCATGGGAATTTCTATAAATTATTTGGTTAACAATGGGGGAAGTAACTTCCTATGGGAATTTCTACACCTAGGCGGATTAGGTAAGTAAATTCCTACATTTTGTGGGAACTCAAAATTTTTTGAAAGTTGTGATAGCTTGCTATTTGGTATGATTGTAGAGTGGTTTTTAGCCTTGAATTTGTGAGAAATCAATGTATTAGTTTGCTAATCACTCTATTTTTATGCATTTTTGTGTATTACGTGCTTCACGGGTTTGTTATTGTTTTTTATGACATTTTAGGTCCCAAGAATGGATTATGAAGCATCCCAGGAAGTAAGCAAGGAATTTAGAGCAATGAGGAAAAGAAGTGAAGCTAAAATGAAGAAGGAAAAAGCAAGATCGAAGAAAGAAAGAAGAAAGAGGCCAAGAAGACCCTGCATGGCCGTGCCAAGCCTTGCACGATCGTGCAGGGGAAGTTAGAATGTGATGTAGCCACAACCAAGTCTGCACGATCGTGCGAAATCCAGCACGTTTGTGCAGGACCTGGCACGCCCATGTCGGAATTCTGCACGTCTGTGCAGGGTGTCTGGTCCCAAAACAATAACTACTACCTCGACTTTATAGGCTTTGCACGGCCGTGCACGATCTGGCACGTCCGTGCAAGAGGCTGCACGTCCGTGCCATACCTTGGCACGCCCGTGCAGACCTACTGTCGAACCCGATTCTTGTTTTCTCCGTCCTTTTTATCTAGGGGTCATATAAATACCTCCCCTGAGCTTCTTTGTACGGATCTTCTTTTCTCCTAACTCCCTTAGGCTTGTTCTCATAGTTAGTGCATAGTTTTTCTCCCCTTTAACTTAGATTTCCAAAAACTCAATCATTGTACAAGAATTAATGGAAGTTTGTTCTACCAATTTCAACAATTGTTCTCTCTTGAAGCATCAATTTTAGTAATTTCTTTCCTCTCTCTTGTCATTTAATTTTCTAATTTTCATCCTTGATTAATTCTAGTTCTTGTTTAATCTTTGTCAATTGTTCTTACATGTTTAATCCATCCTTATTCTATCCCTCTCCTAGTTTAAGTGAATTCATGATAGCCTTAGATTTAATTGTTGGAATGTTTTCCACCATGTGTAGTGAGTAGTTCCTTATTTAGGGGTTGGGTGGAAACCCAACCAAGCCATGGTTGATTGATTTAGATTTCTTCACAATCTACTTTGGGTTGATGTCTCTTTATGCTTGATTTGATTATTGAATGTGTATTTTGGTGGCCACTTCATGCTCATGTATTCATTCCCTTACTCACATTGAAAGATGTGGTTTGGTAGTGAGTCCTTTCTTGTGCAATTGGATTATGCTATTTTCATGACTATGGATGTTTGGTTTCAATGAATAGGATGCTTTAATATGGTAATTTAGGTGAGAAATTCCAATTATTTGTGCTTCATGCTAATTCAGAACGATCGAAAGACAAACTCGAGCTAGAAATCCACTCCCTACCATTGAGACTTACTCCTTATCATGTTAGTGTTTGATCTAGGGAATACTTATGTTGTGACTTTGAAATAAGGCAATGTTAAGTTCTCATTCTATCGCCCATGTATGTTCATGATTTATCCTTGTTATCGATTATTTGGTTTGGTTAATGTTGAATCCCGTTTCCCCTAACGTCTATCACTATAGAAGTTAATTAACCAAAACCCCAATTTGTGACCGGCCTAGCTTACAACCGTTCCATACTCTTGGTATTCTTTACTCATTCCCAGTGGATACGACCCTTTGCTTACCCTAGACTTGTCTTAGGTTAATTTAGGTAGAATTAGTGTTTGGTTTAGGGTGAATGTCCAACGACCGATTTATCCCTCACTAAGTTCCACTTCTCCCATATTACCAAACTTTTGCCAACCAAACAACACACAAAACTTGCTATTCATAGGAAGTCTCAATTTCTATGCTATTTTATGTCAACCAAACAAGCCCATACTTGTACATTGTAGGATTTAGGCACAAAACTACCTAAGAGTGTCAGAAAATTAAAATTCGTTGGTAATAAATATCTTAATTGGTTAAAGTTTTGGGATATTATAAAAACCTAAGATTGAATTTCATTTACGGACTACATCAATAATTATTGAATATATCCCCTAGTTTAAGTACTTGATAGAATTGCATAGTTTTTGAATATTAATAATTTATAATTATTGATTATATAAGATTTCATTGGTCAAAATTTCATTTTTTGAGGTTAACATGGATTAAATCCTTAAATGTGTCAATTAAACTAGCACTTAAAAAAAAAAAAAAAATACACTTCGCTTCGATTCTTCACTTTTTAAATTACAATATCCTCTCAAGCTAGTACAAAGAAGCACTTTACAAGTCTACACTCAAGTTCAGATTTCTGAATGATAGAATATAATCTAATTGGTTAAATAGAATAGGAGAAAATAATCAGAATTTAAAAAAAAAAAATGGTGTTATGGGTTTTTGGATACGGATCATTGATATGGAAAGCAGGGTTCAATTACGATGAACGCCTTTCTGGGTTTATTAAGGGCTATCGCCGTGTTTTCTACCAAGGCATCTTTCATTTTTATTTTTTTCTTTTGGAAATTATTTCACATTTTTCTGGCTTTTTTTTTGAATAAAATCTGATATTTTTTTTGATATAATTTCTAATATTTTTTTTGATGAATTAATTAATATAGGAAGTACTGATCACAGAGGAACACCTGATTACCCAGGAAGAACTGTCACATTAGAGCCTGCTCCTGAAGAAATTTGTGTAAGTTATTAAAAATAACAATTTTAATTTCCCCTTTATTTTATTTTTTTTAAATTAGTATGCTTAGATGAATTAATTAGACTTTGATTATTGTATTAAATGTGCAATTAGTATTTGATGATTCTTGCTATATAGAATGAGAAATCATATTCTTGATTTTAGATTGAAGTTTGTTGTTAATCACTGATTAAAGTAAGTAATTTACTTACTAATTGTTGACTTTAGTTTTTATGGTTGTGGAAAAGAATATTGAAAATAGTACCACCTATACTTACTTGGATTTGTGATTTTTACTGTACTTGAAAATTTTGTACTGAACTGCTTTGTATTATTATTAATCTGGGATAGAAATAAACGAACATTGAATTCGATTTAAGCTTAGAATTTTGTGAATGTTGGCTAGATTAATAGTGTCACTCTACCTTGTATTTCTGAGTTGCTTTTAGTTTTGGCTAGATTTAGCAGATATTATTCTTGGTATGCATATCGTGGGCTGATTTCCTTCACAACAATCTCTTCATATTTTTGACTTGTTTAAGTCTAGATTCACGAATGGTATCTTCTATCTTTGTAACGTATTTTCCCATGACTTGTGTTGCTATATATAATTGACTCACTTTGCTCGGTTAGCTGTACATTACATAATTAGTGCCTTACCCTTGTATATATATTTTGTAATACTCCGTAGTATTCTATGAATATACTACATAATTTATTCTCACATTATTAATTTGTACACCATATAGTATGTTCATAATCTAATCAATTAAAAGTTTAAGGTTCTGCTGTACATTATGTACGATTTCCCACTTGTCCATCTGGTTATAACATACCAAATTGAGGACACATAATTCAACAGTTATGAAATCTTCTTGTTGATTGCAATTCTATAGCCACCAACGAAACTAAGGGTAAACTTTATACAGAGTACCAATTCAGTTTTAGAAAACCTTTGAGGGTTAATCTAATATGGAGTAGCAATTCAGTTTTAGAAAACATTTAAAACCGCAAGAGCCCAGCCCAGGAGGAATCCATGGTTCCCAGCACTGAGAAGATGTTCTAGTCTGAAACACTAAATCGATTATTGATGTGGATCATGAGAGACATTGATCTTGTTTAGTGCCAGGTTAGGTCGTTCTTGTTCACAAGGACCTTAACTTTTGACTTGGAGGATTTCTTGAGCTAGAAGTGTATTTTTAACAATTTATAACAGTCGACATTCTGACTCTTGGCTCTTTGCTTGTGATCTTTGTATAAAGTGCTATCTCTCATATCTTATGTATTGATGATTTGGAATTTTTGCTGTTTTAATGCAATGTACAAATGTTATTACTTGGTAATTTATTCAATTCTCTCTTTGTTCATGTTAGTATGGAGTTGCTTACAAGGTTTCCCAAAAGGAGGATATTGAAACTGCAATCTCGGTAAGCTTTTACAAGCTAATGCAACTACCTTATTTCCTCTTTCCCTAGAGTTCATGATTGATGCCACCATTTTAACAGAATCCCTTCTTTGGTGTAATGGCATGCAGTATTTGGAGGTGAGAGAGAAACAATATGACCAAAAAGTTTACTTGGATTTTTATACGGTTAGTAGTGAAAGACTGAATGCTAAATTTATTTCTCTTAATTCATCTTGATCTCTACAAGTCTAATATTCTGCATCTCATGCACCATTGGTTGATGTACTGTTTTGAAACCACATATTTGGAATTTAGGAATCAACCAGTTCAACACCAGCTGTGAGCAATGTGTTGGTGTAAGTGGCCAAACCGACATGCTTCTTGATCACATTGAGTGTTTGTTATTATGTGTGGCAATTGGAACTCTGTTTAAATTAGACTGACTTAGTGATATTTTAAAAAATTTCAGATATGTGGCATCTTCAGATAAAAAGCTCAATCAGAACTACTTGGGTCCTGCATCATTAGAGGAGTTAGCCAAGTATGTTTATATCTTACTATGTTTTTTTGTCTGTTACACTTGCAAATGTCGCAGTTTTTTTTTTTTTTTTTCTTTTTTTTTTTCTGGCAATTGTGGCAACTTGTATTGAGGATGGCAATCAATGTTTAGAAAATGGGGTGGAAAAAGAACGCTAAAAACTTTTAATGTTCATTTCTTCGTACAAACACTGAATTTACCTAACATCTTCCAAGAAGGCTTCCATAGTTGTTTTTCTCCCCTATGCAATGATGACATGTTTGTAGCCTTTATGTATCATACTTGCACTTGATTTTTCATAAGGTCCAAAAAGTAACTTTGTACAATCTTTCTTGCCCCTCTCAAAGTTCTGTGTAGTTTAGAAAATCTGATGTTTCTCCCATTGTATCCACTCTCTAACCTGAACAAAACATGGATATTAGGCTGTAGTTGACTCACTTTACAGTGATTGCTTGCTTATTTCAATTCCCTGAAATACAGGCAAATTGTGCGCGCAGAAGGCCCCTCGGGTCCAAACAGAGACTATCTGTTTCAGCTTGAGAAAGCACTAATTGAACTTGGTATGCTTCCTCTGGACTTTTGTATTTGACATTTACTATGCTGATGTTCTATCTTGTTTGTGCCTGTAAAATAACTTTAAATATATTTCCTCTCTCTTTTTGTTGCCAATCCGCCAGGATGCAAGGATGCACATGTAATGGATCTTGCTAGGGAAGTGAGATGCATTCTCTCAAAGGAGGTGAAAAGCTTAGAGGATGGCGATCTCTGTGAATTAGAATGAAAACATTGCTGCCTTGATTGCGGCAAGCCCCTCAAAACGAAGTATTATTGCTTCAAATATTTCAAACATTTTTCTCCCGAGGCATTCGCCTAGGAAGCCCTTTAGACACAATATTTGTTAGAAACACCTATTCGTGCCAATCATTTACAGTTCATGTTGGAGGTTGGAGCTTTCTTTCGGTTTATTTTTTTTTATTATTTTTTTATTTTTTATTTTATTTTTTAAAGTCAGCAATAGCATGGACTTAAGTATAAAACACTAGACTTTCTCTAAGATGGGTAACATTTAGACTATTTGTACCTATAAACTACACGGATAATGTGTTGCTTGACATCATAATGTCGAAAGTCAGAAACTGTAGTTTGCTATTGCATCTGCGGAATAAACTAGCATCAAGGCGACAAGGCATCCATACCAGCCTGTGCGACCAATAAATTTGATATAGAAATCTCATACCTTGAGCATATCTTAACTTGCCCTTTGCAGTTTTTATCCTCTAATTTTGCATAGTTAACCATTGTGTTCCAAATCCTAAATGTAAAAGACAAAATCTTCAATAAATATATAGAACAATTATAACCAAATGCAAAACGATAAAACCATCTTTTGAAAAGCATAATACAAAGCTCTTTCTAGTCATCTTTTGTTAACAAGGTTCCTATATTTCAACTTCTAGAATCAGATTTGTGAACTTTTGTAGACTCCTGATTGTGTCTCCTCAAAAACCAAACCCAGTGATAAGTACCTTTCACATCTTTGATTATCGAGTTAGGTGAAGAGTTGAGGAGTCTCGTGAATTTCCTAAGCCTTGACCATATTTCTAACCTTTCTTTAAATGTTTTAATCCAAAATCATTTATTTCGTGTCCTTAAACCCAAAATCATTCATTTCGTGTATTTGAAAATTGTTTATTTCGTGTCCTCTTTATAAAATCGTCCAAACCAGTTTATTTTGGTCCATAACATGAGTCAATAATTGTGTAGTTGGATGGGGCTTGTGAAGAGCTTTCCAGCGATATATTATAAGTTCAAATCCGAGTTATAACGAAAAAGTTATGGCCAAAATACTAAACCTAGCCCAAACCGAGCCTTACCTACGACCCAATGACCATGTGGAGGGTCCATTAACCTTAAACATCATTCCTAAATCCCTTAAGATTATTATTAGCTTGTAGAATCCTCTAGAAGGTTCTAGTTTATCCTGTTTTTGAAAAGATAAAGACTAAAGAACTTTAAATCGGGTAAAACACTTGTTTTTCAATGATTTTAATTCTAATTAAATTAGAATACGTACGGATATTCGATTAACCCAATTTGATTGGAAATCAGATTCCGTACGGATTCTATCTTCTAGAAGTATCGCGTCGCGTTAGAAATATTGCGTCGCGATAGAACCTGTTTTACTCCGAGTCGGATTCTGACTCTTTTTTGATCTTTCGACCCTCTTTTTTCCCTATAAATAGAGGTCGTTTTACCCCGTTTTCAATCATCAACAAGCTTGATCACCAACAATCATCATCTAATCCCCTCGCTAAGCTAAAAGTTTTTCTCTCTCTTCTTTCATATTTTCTAGCCTAGCCTTAGCCTAAACACATCCCAACACACATTATTTGATCTTTTCCTAAACAAACATCATACTTCCTTCACGAGCCTTGAATACTCCTAGCCAAGCTCGAAGTTGCCTTCAACCTCAAAGTGAAAGGCTGATAGTTCTGAGGGTTTGGTCCCAAATCTATATTTCAATTATTATTTGATTTATTTAGTTTGTTTGATTTAATCTTTCTTGAAGTTTACTAACGTGTTTATTGTTTTGATAGAAAGAGATACAAGGCATCAAAATGAGTAATTCGATTACTTAATTATTCTTTTGGTATAGAAATCATGCTTAGGATGTTATTTTGATTTCTAGTATCATGTTAGGATGCTTTTGTAATTCTTAGTATCATGTTTAGGGTGTTAATTAATATTCCTAATATCATGCTTTCTAGTATCATGTTTAGGATAAAACTTTGATCTTTATTATTTAGTGACATGCTAGGGTTTGTTATTAATCCATTTAGTATCATGCCTAGGATCTTGCTATTAATCATGTTTTGATGAGATTATGATTATATTGATGACGATGATTGTTGTGTCAATTATACATTGCTTTATTATTTATTAGTTATTCTTATTGCTTGATCACGCCCTTTCTGCATGTTTAAAGGGAATTTGTACTTGAAATCACGCCTAATAAGATAATTAATAATTTGATTTAGGCTTAATATGATTTTAATTCAAGTGATCACCAATAATAGATTTATTTGTGCATTAATAATCAACCAATATAGATTAAACATGTTTAGGGCTAACTTGTTGTGTGTATGTTGATCGGAAAGCGCACATGAATATCATAAGAATTAAGTAGAGGATGATTTAGGGTGGGTTCAATCTCTTTTAGGTTGGATTCGTATCATCATCCCCGAATATCTAGTCATGGTTTCGGACCACTATGGAGTTAGCGATTTCCGTGATCGTGAATGGGGTGTAACCTTCACACCCGTGAATGGTTTACAATTTCCTAAAACTTGTTGGCGACTTCTTTATCTCTAGCTTCCTTCCCTTTGGACGCCATCATGCTTAAATGCATGATCACAGTGGGGCTCAAAGTTGGTGTTTGAAATATTCCCTACAACTTTACTCATGCCCTGGTTCCACCCCTAAATACAAGCTCTTCCTAATTTGTAGAAAACTAAAAGCATTAAAAACACAAAAAAAGATGCATAAATACACATCAAGTTCCTTGTCGTTGGCCATTCAAGTGAATCGTCTAGAATTATAAATTTCGATTCTGGGCGACCTAACATCAAGTTTTTCTTGAAACATGATTGTCCCGTATATAATAAAGATTAGGAAAATTTATCAAAAAAATCCTTTTAACAACAATATTCTGAGAAAAAAAAAACCCTTCTAAAAGCTTTATCGTAAAAGAAAACCTAATGGTAAATTTTTTTGTTGAAGACAACCTAATGCCTCTAATTCACTTAATTAACCTCTAATTTCTTCAAATTACCCTTTAAATTTCACTAAACCATTTAATAATAAATTAATTTATATTTAAAAAAAACCCACCACCAGCCAACCACTCAGTTTGGGGAGGGGGCTGCTGCCACGGAGAAGGGAAAGAGAAGAGGTGGGGGTGGTGGTTTATGTTTATGTTTTTTTTTAATTAAAAAAAAATTTAAAAATTAATTTTATTATTAAATAGGTAAGTGAGAGTTAGAGGGTAATTAGAAGTCAATTAAATGAATTAGAGGTACTAGGTTTCAACAAAAATTTTTACAATAAGATTTTCTTTTACCATAGCTTTTAAAAGGTTTGTTTTCGCAAAATGGTGCTTTTAAAAGGTTTTTTTTTGACAAGTTTTCCTAAAGATTATTAAAGACTTTCTTCTATTCATCTCAAAAGATTTTATCAAACATTTATGTTATTCGAACTTATTATACTTTTTTCCTTCAAAAAAAAAATTATTATTACTTTTTTGAACTAAATTTTGTTGAAAATTAAACATGATTAATAAAACTTAATACCTCCATAGACCCTAATAGTTTTAAGGTTAATTGAAGAACATAACTCGTTTTACTCCCTTTGTCCACCCAAATAAACGTCTCATTTCACCAAAAACATGCCGTAAAATATTATTCTTTTTTTTAACCTTTATTATTTCTTAATTTACTTTTAATTAACCAAAATCTTCTCTTATTTTTTAAGAGAAAATACAAGTTTATAAGCATTTGGTTAACTGTTGTTTTCTCTCTCCTCCTTCAACCTTTTGTTGTTTTCTCTCTCCTCCTTCAACCTTCAATTTCAATGGTGGAGTACATCTTTTCACTATATGACGTCGAACAAGTGGAAATCAATGGAGGGAGAAAAGCTTATCTACCCTTTAGGGTTAACCATGCCTGTTATTTTTCACTTTATTATTTGGGTTTTCGTTTAATTCTGGCGGCGAAGCCGCCGGAAATGGCGGTGCGAAGTCGAATTTAATGGAGGAAGGAAAGCTCAGCTACCCTTTAGGGTTAACCATGCCATTAATTTCTCCTTTTGTTATTAAGGTTTTTGTTTAATTTCATCGGCGAAAATGGAGTTGAACGGACTTGAAAGAGAAGGTGAAATTGGGCAGAGATTGGAAGGAGAAGATTAAGGTGGGTGGGAAGAAAAAATATCAACAAGAGGAAGAAGATGAACATGAAGAAGAAGAAGAAGAAGAAGAAGAAGGTGGGAGGAAGAAGATGATGAATAGTAGCAAAAGGAGAGTTAACGGTGTTAACTTTGAAAATCTATCCAACTTGTCATAGTGGCCTACAAACAGTAAAAAATAATATTTTTTTAATCAAAAAACACAATTTGCAATGCAACTTATTTACGAAAATGCCATTTGATAAACATAACTTGTTTATCTAGGTTATAAAGTGAGCGTTGCTGATTTTTAATTACTTCAAACAATTAAATCCTTTTTTTTTTAATTCCTTTCACTGGATTAGTCTCATGCGATGCACGATTTTGACAACTAAATTTGTTATATTGTCACATTTACAAAGTGATTAGACTAATTAATACACTAAATTTTCAAATTAAAAAAAAATGAATAATGAAATAGATGACCAAAAATTTTAACTAAAAAATATATAAAATAAAGTAATGACATATGTACAGTTAAGAGAAGAGATGATGTTATCGATTGTTATTTTAGTAATAATTATAGAAGTGACCAATCCAATAAACATTTAATATCGAGTTAGGCCCTGTTCACTTCACCTTATTTTTACCGAACTGAAATTATTTTTACTGAATTGAAATTATTTTTGCTGAAATGAAATTAATTATACTGAATTGAAATTATTTTTACTAAACAAAAATTATTTTTGCTGAACTAAAATTATTTAGAAAATTGGCATAAAATAATACCATTAATGGTGTTTCGAGGTTTTTTTGGAATCCCTCGGGATACAGGTCTTGAACTCAGCCGAATGGACGCGGACACCTGTAAAACAACGAATATTCCGGTTGACGGAATATGCGCCTTCGATGATCAAGTTAGTCACCGGAAAACGAAATAATTGTAGAGATAGAAAGTAGAGAGAAGTTGGAGCTATTCAATGCTCTTTTTATGATGTGTCTTAATCCACCCCTCCCTTCATAAATGATTAGGGTATTTATAGGGGTGGCAAAATGTGCCCCTTTAGAGTTAGTGCCTTAAAAAGCAAGGCTCTAATGGCGGCGCAATCAGGTTAGAACATGTGTCCTATAGTGGCGCCGTTTTGCGTTTTCTAGGGATTTAGGCCCCTTGATGTAAGAAGGCCTTTTCTTTCTTTAGGGTTCTCTTATGTTTGAC